TCCAGAGATATGAAGGTCACTCATTTCAGGTAGTAGCAAGCTGAATCAGCTGGAAATCTCACTGAGTTTATAGAGCAGTGGGATGACACATGGCTTCTTTGTAACCTAGGTGCTAAAATAGTTGTGGTTTTTAGTACTTAGGAATTGACTGACTATTGTGATATAAAGCACATGTGAAGGTATTTATTTGAGAGAACCTCTGCAAATAGTGCATTTTCCCTCTACATTCAGGGGAAAGGTATTAAAACTTCATGGGACATAAGATAAAGAGCAAAGCATATGGAACAAAATATCATATCTGTATGTGATGAAAACTAGGGTGGAGGACATGGCTTTATCTGTGAGCAAATAGACTTTCCTGTATTGAACTCCACATGAGGGAGACTTAGCAGTCCCCAGGTATAGCAGCACTCTCCTTGCAGGGCACCTGTCCAGGTGAGACTTAAGAGTGGGGGATATGAAACCCAGACTCACCCTCGGGTGGGCCTGTCCCCAAGGACAAAAGGGAGAGTTGAGCTGAACACTTAGGCTTGTCCAGTTTATTTTTTCAAATTTGCCAATTGGGTGGCACATTTTATTTTCCCCTAAGTAGAGTAAATAAAGGAACAGAGAGTGGTTAGAAGTCTTATGTTAATTTATTTTGACCACATGGAAGGAAACAGGAAAGAGAAGAAAGAGTTCTCTGAGATATTCATTCTAAGAAATAGGAAATGTGTCAAAGTTTGAGAAATTAAAGTCTGTTTAAAATTTCTTTTCTAGCCATCTTTTTTTTTTAATCAATATTTTTTATTATGATATTGTGGGGTACAGTTAAGGGTTAGGTATACCATTGCCATTCTGACTGGAGTTAGGTGGTATCTCAGTGTGGTTTTGATTTGCATCTCCGTGATGATTAGTGAGGTTGAACATTTTTTCATGTGTCTGTTGGCTGCTCGGATGTCTTCCTTTGAGAAGTGTCTGTTCATATCTTTTGCCCATTTTATAATGGGGTTGTTTGTTTTTTTCTTTTCAGCATGTTTGAATTCCTTGTAGATCCAAGATGTTAAGCCTTTTTCAGACCTGGAGTTGGCAAATACTTTTTCCCAGTCTGTAGGCTGTCTCCCTGCTCTCTTGATGGTTTCTTTGGCTTTGCAGAAACTTGTCAGTTTAATGAGATCCCACTTGTCTATCTTCTCTCTTATGTCTAGCCATCTTATAATTCATACTATGTTAATAATAGGAAGAAAAGCGATCATTTATTGAGAATTTACTATTTTTCATGCTCTGGATTGTGGGTTCATATGTATTATTTCATTTAATTGTCAACTGTCTTGTGTTTTTATTATCTTCATTTTACAGATGTTGAAGCTAAGGTAGAGATTAAAATGCCCAGGGATATATGAAGGGCCCCCCAAAAAACCCAGAATTTATTTATTAAAAATTGTGTAATTTATTCTTAATGTTTAAACTTCAGTCACCTTCAGAGCACTCTCCTTTGATGTAATATGTCTATCAGGATGGTTTTTCCACTGTTCATTGTATTTGAACTTGTCAATTTTGATGTCTTTTAGTGCTTCTGCCATTTTTTGTTTCACTTTTTCCACATCAGCAAAACATTTCCATTTAAGGACTTTTTTCATGCAGGGAAACAACAAAAAAAAAATTGCTCTTGGCAAGATTGGGTAAATAGTGAAGGTAGGCCATGGGGGTCATGATGTTTTTGGTAATGTATGTGAACTGTAAATAATTTTACCTGGTCTGACACACTATGAGGCTTAATGGTATTATTATGAGCAGAAATTTAAAATTTTGGTCAGGTTTACTTTCTTATAAAGTTTTTTCTTTGTTTTCTTTTAGCTTTGCGGTTGATGTATGTGTGTGTTTTCAAGTTTGCTGTTGTGGTATATTCTCTGTTGATTCTGTGTTCTTCTGTTCTTTTGGGAAGTCTGTGGTCATTCTTTTTTTTTCTTTTTTCTGTGCTTAATACCTTTTTAAGCATCTCCTGTAGAGCTGGTCTGGAAGCTGCATAATCTCTTAGGGATTGGATGTCTGGAAAGGATTTTAATTCTCCATCATTGATGAAGCTGAGCTTGGCTAGGCTGAGAATTCTTGGTTTAAATAGTTTATCTTTGAGGACTTTGAATATTGGACTCCTGTCTAGCTTGTAGTGTTTCTGCCGATAGGTCTGCTGCTATTCTGATTGGTTTTCCCTGCTAGGTAGTCTGACCTTTTTCTCTTACTGTCTTTAGAGTTTTTTCTTTTGTGCCTACTTTGTGTAGGTGAATTACTATGTGTCTAGGGGTTAGTCTTCTTGTTTGACGTCTTGTGGGGGTTCTCTGTATCTCTTGTTTTTGGCGATGAGGTTTGCTTTAATTGTTCTTTTATGCTTAGTGCCTTTTGTCCTGGCTAAGGATGCTTTGCCTACCTCAAGATATTCTTTATGATTTTTTATAGAAGTTTCATGGTTTTAAATTTTACATTTAAGATTGTGATTCATCTCAAGTTAATGTGTGAGCAATTTGAGTTTGCTGAGATGTTTTTCTATAGCCTATAACATGATCTAACTTGCTATTGTTTCATGTGTTCTTGAAAAGAATGTATGTTCTACTTTTATTGAGTGGAGTATTCTATAAAATGCCAAAGTTGGTTCATAGTGTTATTTAAGTTTTCTGTGTCTACTGACTTTTTGTCTCCTTTACTGGCTTATTGTTATACATTTTTAAACAGTATATATCTCTAATATATCATAGTTGACCTTCAAGTAATGATATACAAATTCATATATAATATATATGAACCTTATATAATATTAGAATTTTATTTACATAAAGTATATCAAGTTATACAAATTCATAAGAACCATATATAAGAACCTTACACCAGAATAATCTAGCATTCCCCTTCTAACCTTTCTACTATTGTGTCAGTTTATGTCTATATTTGCTATAAATCTCAAATACATTGTTGTTATTTTTGCCTTAAATAGGTATGTTTCAAAGAGGTTTAAAAATTAAGAAAAATAGTATTTATTCACCTAGTTACCATTTTTATTATTCTTTATTTATTTGTATAGATTTAGTTTTCTCCTCAGTGTCATTTTTCTTTCTGCCTGAACAATTTCCTTGACTATTTTTGTAGTGTAGTTCTGCTGGTAATACATTTCTCAGCTTTTGTATGTCAGAAAAGTGTTCATTTTATCTTTGTTTTTGAAAGATGTAATTGTTGGATGTAGATTTGTGGATTGACAGTTACCTTTTTTTCTTTTGGTAATTTAAAAATATTGCTCCACTGTCTTTCAATTTGTATTGTTTCTGATGAGAATTCCCTGTCATTCTTACCTTTGTTCCTCTGTATGGAATATGCCTTTCTTTATTATTGTTTTTTTAGCAGTCTGATTATTATGTACTTTGGTGTGATTTTTATTTGTTTCTTCTGCTTAGGGTTCATTGAACTTCTTAGATCTGGAGTTATTAGTTTCATGAATTTGTAAAATTTTCAACTAATATGTCAAACATTTTTTCCAGCCCCCCTCTTTAGTATTTAAATTACACATATATTAGGTCTTTTGAAAATATTGTACAGTTAACAGATACTGTGAATTTATTTATTTATTTATTTATTTCCAGTCTTCTTTGTATTTATTTTGGATAGCTTTTTATTGCTAACTACTATATCTTCAAGTTTACTATCATTTAATTTATATTGTCTAATCTGGTAACCCTGTCCAGTGTACTTTTTATCTATGACATTGCATTATTTATCCCTAGACTTTTGGGTCTTTTTTTTTAGTCTGTGTTTCACTTTGTTGGCAAGGCAGGAGTACAGTGGCAGAATCAGAGTTTACCACAGTCTCAACCTCTTGGGCTTGGGGACTCCTTCTACCACAGGCTTCCTAGTAGCTGGGACTACAGCCACATGCCAGCATGCCTGACTAATTTGTCAATTTTTTTGTAGAGACTAGGTTGTGCTATTTTGCCAAGGCTGGTCTTGAACTCCCTCCTGGACTTGAGCAATCCTTCTGCCTTGGCCTCCCAAAGTGTTAGGATTACATGTGTGAGCTACGCCCGGCCTGATTCTTCTTCTTCTATTTCTTCTTCTATTTCTTCTTCTTCTTCTTCTTCTTCTTCTTCTTCTTCTTCTCCTTCTTCCTTCCTCCTTCCTCCTTCTTCCTTTCTTCTTCTTCCTTTCTTCTTCCTCCTCCTCCTATTCCTCTCTTTATCATGCTATGCTTTCCTCTTCCTTCTTGAGTATATGGACTATATTTACAATAGCCATTTAATATCTTTCTACTAAGTCTATCATCATTTCTGTTGCTTGAATTTTTTTTCTTAAAATCCTATTTTTATGCTTCTTTGAACGCTTTATATTTAATTAGATGTCAGACAATGAATTTTATATTGCTGGGTTTTCTGAAGTTTTTTGTTTTTATTTAAGTTCTTTTATGCTTTCTCTTAGACTCATTTATATTACCTTAAAATAGTTGGATCCATTTGAAGTTAACTTTTAAGCACTTTTAAGCATCCATAATAGATTTTAGTCTAGGATTAATTTAGTCACATCACTGAGGCAGTGTCTTTCTTAGACCCTCCTTGATGTTTCCTATTTAGGTGATCGCTTTCTGCTCTGGTTGATTGGTATGCAAGGTATTCCTAGGCCTGGGTAATTTCTGAGGATTATTTTGCCTGCTCCTTATGATTTTAAAATTATCTTCCAGGTTTTATATTACATGTATATTGTTTATTTTTTAGATTATCCCATCTTTACTTTTATTAAAATATGTGGAGAATTATGTTATACTGGCTTGCTAGTGAGTAAACAAATAATTACTTGTAATAATAGTTTCATAATAATCTAAAAGAGTTACCCCACCTCCCAAGATACCTAGCATATCTAGGGGTAGATGTTACAGTCTTAGTGTCATAACGTTATTTGCAATGATTATGGAGAAATAACGTGTATACATTTTTCACACTAAACACCACTCTTTTTAAGTATCCTTGTTCTGTGTTCTCTCTCTCTAGGAAGAACGTGTTGTGAATCACATGGCAGCAAAGATTATTGAAAATGTCTGTACTACCTTTTCTGCTCATGCCCAGGGCTTTATTACAGGAGAAATCGGACCTGTTTTATGGTACCTATTCAGACATTCCACTGTTGATTCTCTTAGGATAACAGCAATATCGGTAAGATGAAGCATTTTGGGGGGATATATCTGGGTGTATTTAAACACCAAGTTTGAAGAAATGTACCAGAAGAAGAATAAATTTCATTGGATAGATAGGAAACTGAAATCTCAGTGTATTAGTTGGTGAGAGCCATAACTTGATTTTCTCTTAAAGCAGAATTTTAAAAACTGGAGCTGGAAAATCTTGGGACTGTGAAGGAATTCCAATAGGACCTTGTTAGGACTATGATATTATGGTTTTAAAAACTGTTTGGAGGTGAAAACTGTGCAGTAGACAGGGTACGGAATTTGGTTTGTTATATTTTTAGCATTCCTTGACTTTCTGTCAGCACCCTCATTCAGATTTTGTGTTAAGTGGGTTTATCATGTGGTTCAGATGAATTCATTTAATGTTCAAGCCTCTGTGATTTTTTAGTTTTTGTATTTTGATTGGTTGCCTGCTATTTTGCTCACATGGCTGTAATGACTTGGTAAAAGGATAATTATGTATGAAGATGTGTTAACATGCTTGTGTCAATTTTATAGTCCGCTGAACAAATACAACCCTTTCTCCTATTCATTTAAATACTCCTTTGAGGTACCAGTCTCATTTGGGCTCTCAACATTCTGTGGCCCCCTCACTGCTCTTTTCAAGTGAGCTCACTCTCACATTCCTTTCTATGGAAGTTCATAATTTCTCTTTCCTTAAACCTCCAGTCCTTCATTTTCATCTACATCCTCACTAAATGACTTTGCCCCTACTGCCCAGAGAAAAATGAACATCTGACAGGAACTATCCCAACTCCCTTCTGCCATATAAGTAGACCTTTTTACATGATCACCTGTCTTCTCTCATTTCTTCCCCCCCTGTACAATTGATGAGCTGTCCTTTCTCCTGTCAGAGACAAACCTCTTCATGTTCTTCAAATCTTCTTCCTGGTTCCTTCTTGGACACCTCACTTAGTGGTTATTTTTGCCCTTTCCTAAATCTTGAGTTTCTCATTTCTATTAGATACTTCTGGTTAACATTCAGGTATTTAATTTGCCTCATATAGACACATCAAAAAGTCTCCAGGCTGTGTATCTCCCCTTCACAGTCATATCTCTTTAAAGAATTATTACCACATACTGTTGTTCTTTCCTGGACCACATTTCCTCCTCAGCCCAACCTGTTATCTGTCCTAAGAATGCCACTGAAGCTGAGGTTATTAATTACTCTGATGTTGCTAATCTGTGGATATTTAAGGATATTTTTCAGTTCTAATCTTATGTTACCTATATAAAGTTGAAGATCAAGGGATAAAAATCATGCTCCCTGAATATCATTAAGAAAGGACATATAGCACTTATCACACACACACACACACACACACACACACACACACACACACACACACACACACACACCCCACACATACCTGTTTCAGTAGCCACATGTTTTCAAAATTACAAAAACCAAAACCTCATAAATGATTATGGCACTAATAATTTCAGAAAGAGTTACAAAAGTATACCAAAAGTGGACCTTCTGGAGACATCTTTGGATCATATTTTAAGGCATTCATTTTAATCCTGGGCCTTTAAAAAAGAAATCTGTCTTTTAAAAAAAATCTGTCTTGCTTTAATTGAGTTTATGTTATCATTTTCTTCTTTATACTCAGCATGGTTCTTTTATTAATAAGGTTTTTCTAATTGTTCCCACTAATGTCTCTCATCTTGCCCTTCCTTTCTTCGTCTGACTTCATCAACTTGACTGTTTTCATCTTGAGCTTCTTATATTTTGTTCTTAGCATTCATATGAATCATTAAGTTTTCACTGAAATTTTGCCAGTTTTCATAAGAGTGTTTCCATTTTTCCTTTCTGCGCCAAGATCCTACTCAGGAGCATGTGTTGTATTTTGTTTTCATAATTCTTTAGTCTCTTCCAGTGTGACACAGACCTTTAGGCTTTGTATGTTTCATGTCATTTACAATTGTAGAGAGTACAGATCTGGGTACAACCTGGGTTTGTCTGGTGTGTCTTTATTAAACCTCCATTAACTACACCAGATACCTCTATGGTGGCTGCTATGTCATGATCATCCATTGGTATCATTCCTGTTACATCAGGGCTTGGCACATTGTTTTCTCTAAAAGACAGGACAATAAACATTTTGGACTTTGTAGGTCACACACAATCTCCATTGCATAGTCTTTTGGTTTATTTTGCTTTCAATAATCCTTTAAAAATGTAAGCACTATTCTTTTTGTATCAGTCATGAGATACACAAAATCGGGCTTTATGAATAAGTTGGAATTTTATTTTGAGGAAGAATTTTTCCTTCTCCCATATGTATGTATGCATATCAGTCTGGAATCATGGATATCTATTTTGTTCAATGGATTGTAATGCTATAGATACTGTTGCTACTGTTTATTGTTTGGATGATCCAGTCATCCCAGATTTGGCTAGTGGGATCCCTTTAAGCTAGCTTCTGTATCCTTGGACTATTTCTATCATTGCTTAAGCACTTCCTTACCTTCTGACATCATACAATGTTCTGGGCTCATTTTGTACTTTTATGTCAGCCCTGGAATCAGTCATTTCTCTAAGAAATTCTTTGTATTTAGAAATGAAGGTCTGGATGCTCTTTGTGTTTATTCCCTGGGAGTGTCATTGTTTCTAGGTCTTCTCAGTAGTCAAAGCTAGATAAAATATATGTATTCCTATATATACATTTGTATTTTTAAAACATCTGTTCTTTTACATATTTGGGGGAAACAGCTCCCTGAATTTATGTTGATAGTAATTTTAAATTAGCACTTCAGAATTCATCCTAGTTTCCTCCCTTTTCATGTTTATAAATCCTTTCTCAGAAAAAATTAGGTTCTTATTATTCAATTATATCAACAATTTGTTCAATCAGTTAATCTGTCCCTTAGTGTAACGAACTCCCATTCACTCTGGCTGCCTCCTCTGTGTTGCCCTCCACCTCCCTTGCTGCTACCACTCTTCTTACTTAGTCACTTTGTGGCTCAATCCTCTTTTTTCCTCTCAGTTTCCCCCCTTCCTCAGACTCTGATATAGTGACCCTGAGAGGGAGGGTGGGGAAGATGGGTTAAGGCCAGGATCCCAAACCCCCAGGCCATGGACCCGTACCAGTCTGTGTCCTGTTAGGACCTGGGCCACACAGCAGGAGGTGAGCGGCCAGAGTGGAGCTCCGCCTCCTGTCAGATTCAGCAGTGCATTAGATTCTCATAGATTCACCCTCTTGTGAACTGTGCATGTGAGGGATTTAGGCTGCATGCTCCTCTTGAGAATCTAATGCCTGATGATCTCCCTACCTCTCCACCTCACTCTTCTACAAACCGGTCCCTGATACCAAAAAGGTTGGGGACTGCTGGTAAGGACTACTGGTACCTTTTCTTTTCTTAACTCCTTCTAGTTTACTGGTTACAACCAGTTAGTCAGCCTCTGCTGTGATTCTAATTCATCAACATCTGTCAGATTTGTCCACCTCTCTCTGCAACTGTATGGTTACCCCCACAGTCCAGACTATCACCATCTCTTTCCTGGACCACTGGAGGAGCTTTCTAAATGGTTCCATAGGCCAGTATTATGCCCCTTCAAGTCAATTCTCCACACAAAGTGACTGCATAAAATCATTATCTCCTCCTCTTACTTACCTGATTAAACTTTTCATAGTATTTCATTTTTTTAAAGGATTGATAATACTTTATTCAAAGCACTAAGTAGAAGTTGAGAATTAATAAGTGCTCTTGGTTTTATATTATTATTCAATGTTTAAAGCAGTTAGCATATTTTGCCTAGTAAATTAGTTAAGTTTATTTATTTACTTTTTTTAGTCAGGGTCTCATTCTCTTGCTCAGGCTGGAGTTCAGTGACATGATCATGACCATCATAGCTCACAGCAGCCCTCCTGGGCTCAGGTGATCCTTCTACCTCAGCATCCCGAATAGCTGGACTACAGGCTTGTGCCACCACACCTGGCTATTTTTTTTTTTATTTTTTGTAGAGATGAGGTTTCGCTATGTTTCCCGGGATGGTCTTGCATTCCTGGGCTCAAGCAGTTCACCTACCTGGACCTCCCAAAGTTCTGGGATTACAGTCATGAACCACCGCCTTATAGATTATAAACTCCTTGAAATCCAAGACTATATTTTGTTCTTCTATCTCAGTTTAATACCAGGTCTATTTATTGTCAGTTATTGTTAGTTCTTTCAGAGATTAAGAGGGAGCTTCCTGTCCCACCTGTGAGTAGATGGCAGAGGTTAATAACATTAAACCCCATTTTTTATTGCAAGACAAAGAGAAATAGACCACAGAGTTTCTGCTATTAATGATAGAATGGGGAGAGGATACAGCATGAAATCATTATTTGGGAATACTAAAGAAAGTTATTCTAACATAATGTAAAGAAAACTGTACCTGCACCATGAACAGATTTACATGAGGATTTATTAAAGACTGAGTTTACAGAAACAGAAATATGCATTCTGAAGATATTTCATACACATTCCTGGCAGGGAATGACAGTTACTTTCTCCCTGGGATGTCTTACAGAACCTAACTTCCTTCTTAATGTCTTTTTCTATATTTACCTCTCAGGAATATCCTGGTTAATAGACCCATTTGGTGATAATGATCAGAGTTTTTAACATGATCTTCTACATCTTGGATTGTCTGGCCCCTGACTGCCTCTCTTGTGCTCTTGTGCCATTTCATAACACTCATTTCCTCACTCAGTGTGTGTCACCAACTTATGTTCAGACGTTTCTAGGATTTCCATGCACTTTTCTGCCTTAGCACCTTTCCACTTGCTGTCCCTGTTACTGGATATTCTTTAGTGGCTTTTTACATGGCCAATTCCTCATTGCAAGTCACAGCTTAAGTGTCACCTCCTCAGTGAGGACATTCCTGGCTCGTCTCCCTCCCCTCTAATGAACACAGCTGTATTTATTTAACTTATTTATGCATAGTTTTTCCCATTAGCATGTCAGTTCCAGGAGGATAGAAGCCCTGTTTTTATTTTTTCTCTCTTGAGCCCTTGGTAGGTGCTCCAGAGACACCTACTGACCAGGTGAATGAATGAGTGAGGGGAGGATAGCATTGCTCAGTGTTGAGGCAGCAACCTGCTCCTGTTGCACTTGTAACTGTCTGCATTTGCCTCCTCTGTCACTGACTTTCTGACTCATTTTCCCCAATGATCTCTTGACCCCCTAAATTCCTCTATTCCAGTTTGATTCCTAGACCAGCAACACCTAAGTTATCTGGGAACTTGTTAAAAATACGGTTTTTTGGGCCCTCACCCAGACCTACTAAATCAAAATCTTCAGGGGAGGAAGGAGGCCTAGTAACCTGCATTTCAACACATTTCCAGGTGACTTTGCAAATCACTGCCCTGGACCTCAGCACTTTTAGAAAACACTGACATGGTTTGGAGCAAAAGATGACCAATTTGTCATTCCTACCTAGGAGTGGCAGCATTGGTAGGTATTGGTAGTTGGAGGGAGTGGACTTGACTTGGGCAATGTACAGAATAGATAGATAAAAGTGGCTCTTATAATTATTGGGATTATAGGGAATCTCTCTGTAGGAACTGTAGTGGGAACCAGAGAAACCCATAGAGTTAGATGCTCCTATGAGGGAGATAACTATAGCAATCAAAATTACTGAAGTGCTGACGTGAAAAGGTGTTAAAAATTGAAGAAGTGTGCAGGGTAGTGGTTCTTACTGGGGCTTGATGTGAACTTTTCAAGCATCATTGGCACTTGCTCTTCTCTGTTCATCCCCTGCCCCTATTCTCATAGATCTTAAGATCTCTCAGGGGTCAGATGAGAGTGTGTATAGTTTGCAAAAGCTCCCAGGGTAATTTCATATGACATCAAAAATTAATTTGAAATACCAAAAAGTAAAGTTTCATAAACATTTTCTTCCTTGGTGATTCTATTTGTGTTTCTAAAAGATATGCAGCCCTCAATTTTGAGTCAGTCTGTTTTTTGGAAGCTGTTATTAAACAGACTATAATAAAATCCAAATTCTAGAGGTGATACTAAGTGTTCTTTTGATGTAAAATTTAAAGTGAGTTTGAACTGGAACTGTTCTTTATGATCTATTTTAATAAGTAAATATTTTAGAACCAAATCACTGAAGATCAGACTTGATTTGATTTTTTGATTCAGAAACCAAAAGCACTAATATACCCTTAAGTCTCCGTGCATCTTCCCAGTTGTTCTGAAGCTCTCAACTGAAGTTGATATTCAGAAGTGAGTTAAGATTGTAGTTGCCCTCACATGGCTTTAAATTCTACTTAGAGTAGTCTGGGCAGATCTTTAATCTTTAAGAATTTTCCCCATCTAATTGGGTAGGGATTTTTATGGCAGTAGAAAGTTTGTTTTGCAGTGCCAGCTTCTCTAAAAATGGTTATATTGCTAATGAGATGGACTAGGAAAATAATTAAGTAATTCTATTTTGAGTTTACAAATAGCAATTTTCTTTGGTTAATTACAAATGAGTTTAAAAAATATACACAAATTTTAAATGAGACGTAGTTTATTTTTTTAAGTGAACTGATTTTTCATATTTCTGTTTTCAGATGTTAGTGATACTTTTCTACCAAAATCTATGCAGTTTGGATTATAGATTTGAAAAGCCCCTCTTTCATTCTTCCTGAATCATGATATCTAATTTACCCATCAGCAATTTCCTTGGAAGAAAGTGGAAAACAGAAATGTTACTTGAAAGGTTCTCAAAGTAGAGTTTAATTATTTGGTGGAAGTTTATTCTGATATTGCTCTCTCTAAATGAATACCAATCCCTGGTATATGTTAGAAATGAAGTCAATGATTATTTAGGCATAATTTTATAAGTGTTTCATACGATAGTTCTACAAGAGAAGGTTTTTTTGTTTTTGTTTTTTTTTTTTAGGGATAAGTACAAAGTATATAGCTGTGTTTATTTAACTACATATACTTTTCCCTAAATTTTGCAAATACTATTTTTTCAGTGCATTGATTTACTCATTTGATTTAGAAATGGCAGTTAGTACGTACATACACTATTTTTAAAGGAAACTTTCCTGTAAATGTTTATTTCAATATAGTTTTAAAAATGTCTAAGATAGTCATTGGCTCTGGAGTGTAACTTAAAAAAAAAATTATAAAACTAATATACATTCATTTGAAACATTTTAATGGCACAAGCACGAAAAGTTGAAGACTCTTCATTGGCTCCTTTTCTCCTTCCTGCCTCGCAGTCCCATTCAAGAGGAAACATTTGGAGAAGGTCCTTCTAGATGTCCATTGATATGAGTTATATTTACTTTTTTCCTTCTGGCTTCATAAAGTCACATTAACCTTTTCATAAAGATTGGAAACAAACTTTATCACTAAGTAAAAACATTTTCTTTGATCAATTTCATTTCACGGGAGGATTAAATTTTACACCAATCAGTATAGTACTTGTTTTCCTTATTTTTTCAATGGGAATGACTTTTAAAGGCAAGTCATCCTTGGAGAGAAAAATATTTAATTTTTTCTTAATACTTTCAAGAAAATGAGTGTATTTTTCTAAGCCTTTTATCTTTTTTATATCTCCCTCCCTTCCTTCTCTCCTTTTGATATCATATTTCTAACAGTTTGTCTTGTATTGGATCTTTTTGTTACTAATCAAGGTTATAAATCTATTTAAAATGTAAATCAGAGAGAAGGAGATTATATAACAATTTATTAATGTTTCTATAAAACTATTCCTGGCTTAAGTTTATTTATCTCTTTGGAGTCTCCCATGTGCATATGGAATATCACTATCTCTTTCTTTTCCTTAAAAACTTTCCAAGGGCTTCCCTTTCCTATGGCACAACATTGAGAGTTTCTCATTTGTCCATCACCTCTGACTCCAGCTAACTTTTTTAGGTGGGCATCAGCTTTTCTTCTCTCTTACTGTATGTCTCTTTTCTTCCAACTGGTGTATGCTCTAATTGCGTCAGGCAACTTGCCTCTTCATACCTCCATGTGATTACTTGTTCTGTTTTCTCAAGCCCAAATTTTCCTTACTCACTTTTCCACTTATTTCCCACCCACCCTTCAGAAACTGGGTCAGCATCATCTTCTTTATGTAGCTTTTATTGACTTTTTCTTCCTTTCCAATAATGATTAATTGAGTCCACTTGTATTCTAATGCATGTTAAGTTCTATTGGTTTATTGTAATTTAGGAACAGCTCTGACTACACTGGTTTAAATTCCTGCTCTGCCACTTATTAGCTATATGCCTTTAGGCAAGTTAATTGCATACCATATGTGCCTTAGTTTTATCATCTATAAAATGAAGATAATAACACTACCTTTCTTATATGTTGTTGGAAGAATGAAATGAAATAATCTTCAGATATTCTCACATTGTAAACAATAAATGTTAGATATTAACTTTTATGACTGTTTCTTCAGCACTTAGTTCATTGTCTGCACAAAGACGGTGTTTAATAATGTGGTTTATTAATTAAAGGGAAGTTTTTCTATATAGACTTATGTATTAATTTATCAATTTAATGGTTTTTATAATAGTCTCTTTTAAAACAACCTTAGTTTTTATGGCAGCTGAATTAATGTTTTATTTTTAAGTTTGTTGAAAATTTCCAACTTCCTTGTGTCAAAATAAGTAATAAAAGAGCCAGGTAAGCACTTTCTGCTCCTTCACACAGAAGCATGTACACCTTTTGTTGGAACGGTTGAGCATTTGGAGTTGCCTGACCGATCTGTGCTCTTGTCTTGTAGGCCTTGTGTAGAATCACTCGCCATTCTCCTACTGCCTTCCAGAATGTCATTGAGAAAGTGGGACTGAACACGGTAATAAACTCCCTGGCCTCTGCCATCTGCAAAGTTCAGCAGTACATGTTGACCTTATTCACTGCCATGCTGTCCTGTGGGATTCATCTTCAAAGACTAATCCAAGAAAAGGTTTGACTTAGATTTCATCTGTTATTCTACTTTAAAAATTGTTATTTAGTCTATAGTTTTAGTGGTTCCACAAGTCATGTCATCTCTGTAGAATTTATTTTTCCTCCCAAGTGACTTTTTTGAACTTTGCCTAACCTCTGTAACACAGAGCATTTATCTGAAGATGTTATATGAGTCTTTTCATGATTAAAATAGAAATCCATTAAGTGGCTTTGGCCTGCCTATCCCATTTCAGTAATGAAAACTTAGAAAATTTATGAGTCCTTCCTATATGCTGGTATTTCTTATGCCGCATTAACCCCAGCCCCCATCTCTTTTTCCCATGTCCTTTGCCTTCCTTAGGGAGGGGTCCCTTTATATTTTCTGCTTAGTCTGACCTATTTTTATTCCTTTCCTTGTCTTATATTCTGCCAGTCCAAATCAACTTTGAGCTTCCTCTCTGTTTTTAACTTAGTTCTTTAATATTTCTTAATTTTCTATGTTGTAGAGTTTGTAAGTTTTAAATTCATATTGCAGAACTGTATAACTATCACGTATAACTTCTACAAAGTATTTTCTCTAGCCCCTTGCTAAAGAGAGATGCCTGGACCAGCAACATAGACGTCTCTTGGGTATGTGTTGGAAATGTGGACTCTCAGTGCAGACCTGCTGAATCAGAATTTACATTTAGTGAGATCTCTAGGTGATTCGTTTGAACTTTGTGGTTTGAGAAGCCCTTCCTGGGAATGTTAGTGTTTGGTGAGGTGTTAGGTGAAAAAAGTGGGGCTGGTTGTATATACATTTGGAAAGCAGTGAGTCAAAGGTAGAAATATTTTCAGTTGTCCAGCTTTTTCCAGTTTTCAGTAGGCTAGTGGGTATTGTGAATCTCTATGTGGGAACCTGTTATTTAAAATGTAGTGTGGACATTCTTTAGACTTATTGTCAGTCTCCATGAGGGGAATATAGTGTGCAGCATTCTTTAAACCAATCACCGTTGTTTTCCTGTGGAGGATGGATACACCTTTCTGCTCAGAAGTGTGGAATGGAGCCACTTATATACACTGTTTACCTTGGTTCTGCATTAAGCGCATCGTTAAATTTTGCTTTTTATAATAAAAATTAAAATTTCAACAGCTATTATGAATAACTATCAGATTTACATAATAAACTTGATCTGTGAAAGTTTCAATGGAGAGTAAACCACTTGTTTTCTTTACTTTTATTATTCTGATTTAGATTCTGCTAAGAAGTTTGTGCCTCAAAGTATTTTTTCAACAAACCTGTGTGTTTAATTTTTGCTATTAAATTTTCAAACTCATTCAATGTTCTTATATTAGAAAAAGTAACACTTGAGTAGTTTTACTGTGTAAAGTCATAGTAAGAGAATCTGAGAGCTTTGGAAAGGGTTTTTTATTTCCCACCTTCAGAACAGGCATGAATTGATAAGCTTCAAATATAATATTTCACAAAGGCAGTAAAATAGAGTGTATTAATCAATATGGTTTTGAATTGTTTCCTAATGTATAACTGCTCCATATGCTTCAAAGAAATGAATGAATGAACAATTAAATGTATGGAATGATAAACAATCCTTTACTTTTGATTAGTCTTAGTATTAGTATTTTTTTTTGTTGTGGTAGAAAACATAAAATTTGCCATCTTAACCATTTTGAAATGTATAGTTCAGTAGCATGTTCTCATTATTGTGAAACAGATCTCCATAACTTTTTCATCTTGCAAAACTGAAACTATATACCCATGACACATTTTGGGTGGTGTTGGATTTTATTTACATTTTCTATTTTAGTAGGTCTCCTCTGACACTGAATTGGCAGAGGAAAGGGGGATATTGCCCTGTTTTTTCTGTGGTGGAGTGGAAGAACCCCTCATTACTGTTAGGCAAGAGAGGGCGGTCAGGCCTTCCATTAGGCCTCCTCTAGTGCCACCCTGGCTGTCGGGGGCAAAGACTTCTCGTTACTGCCTCCACCAACACTGGTTGGGTGGGGATGGGTGCCTCATTACTGATGAAAAGTTGTGAAGGTACAGCCTTCCCACTCTGCCTTTTCTGCCCCATCACAGCAGAGAGAGGGAGGAAAGCTTGTTACTGCTATCCTGTATTGGGAGGGAGGTACAGGCTTCCCATGTGGTCTCTACTGACACGGTGGCTTTGAGGGGGGCGCTTTCTATTATTGGACTGGGATGAAAGCCTCAGCTGGCTACTTGGTCTTTTCTGACACCACTCTGCCAAGGGATAATGTTGGGGCACCTTGTTATGGTCACATGAAGTTGCAAGAGCCAGCTCCATACTTGCCCTTTGCTGATGGAGCTGAGAATGTGGTTTTTTCATGGCACTTGGCTGAAGTAGAATAGCTAATGTTTAAAAGATTTCTGAGCTGGGCTCGGTGGCTCAGCCTGTAATCCCGCGCCTTTGGGAGACTGAGGTGAGTGAATTAGCTGAGCCCGCGGGTTTGAGACCCGCCTGGGCAACTTGGCGAGACCTCATCTCTACAATAAATCAAAAATCAGCCGGGCATGGTAGCACACGCCTGTAGTTCCAGCTACTTGGAAGACTGAGGTGGAAGGATCGCCGGAGCCCAGCAGGTCGAGGCTGCGGTGGGCGGGAGCGGCCACTGCACTCCAGTCTGGGCAACAGAGTGAGACTCCAACTCAAAAAATAAATAAATAAATATGGTGTGTGCCCTTTTATTTTATCTTTGAGAGAACTTGCTTTTCTTGTGTATTTGTATATGTGTATCATTGGTATTTTCCAGGCTCTTGGATTCTCCAGCACTCAAACCAGGATATAAGAGACAAAATGACAAACTACAGTGTGTTGCTTTGTTGATTCTTGAGTCTCAAGGCCCTTAACTGGTCTGCTGCCTTCGCTCTACTTTTCAATTTTCTTATACTTCCTTTATATATAATGTACTGGGTTTTAGCTGTACTTGGTGGTAGGAATAGAGAGATGTGCATCTTTTCTCTCTCGTCTTCTAATTTTTAAATCTCTGATACCTCAATAATGTTCAATTTTCATTTAAAATGCAAAGTTCTATATTTATTAATTTATTAATCATTTATTTGTTTGGACCAGATGCTTAGTGGTTCGCAACTCTGGGTCTTTCACAGAGGATGCTTAGTGTGTTGAGTAATTTTGTCAAGTTTATGGAGGATATAAGTGCTGGATATACATGCTCATGCCCTAACAGGAAGGGCAGACAACAAACAAAGAAACAGTCATTTTAGGTAGTTCTCTGAAGAACACAAAACAGGTTTGTTATCACTGCAAGGGGCAATGTGCAGGTTGGGAGGAGTCAGACACTATTAGCCCAGGGTGCAGGGGTGGGGCAGTTAGGGAAGGCCTCTCTGAGAAGGTCCATTCCAGCCTTGACTGATAGGGAGCACACTGTGTGCAAATCTGGAGCAGAACTTTGTGGTGCAATTTTCCTTAAGTGTGAGAGATCTTGGGGAGATCTGGGAAGAGAAAGAAGGCCATTAGAGTTGGGACATAGCGAGTTGGGAGGAGGACATGGGAAGAGACTGGGAAGTGGAAAAAGAGCCAGTTCATGTAAGGTTGTGACGTTTGGCCTTCCTCTGGGATTTTGGCTCAGTGATTGTGGTTTTATTGTTACTTAAGGAGGAGAAAAGTGCATGCATTTATCTACACGTGCCTGAGGCGCAAGTTTGCCAACCTTATAAATGTCTAGTTGAGATTTCCTCATTCTCCACTTCCATTCTAGACTTTGGAGTAGGTGTTTGATTGTCAATAGGTTACAATGAGTGGAATACAGGACCCAGGAGCAAATACAAAGTTTATTATTTCTTGTTGGATAGGGAGAAAGAACTAAAGACTAGGAGACCAATGCCTGCATATTATATGGTCTTTTAAAATTGAAATTTGGTCTCCAACAGAGTTCCATTCCTTTCCTTTTAAATAAATTGCTATTTACTGCAGAAAATTTAGAAGACTAAACAGCAACAACAACAAAAACCCCAAAACAAAATCAACTGTGAACTCACTACCTAGAGGTAATTATTGCTGACATGTTGATTTATCTTTTTTTAGTTTTTTGTCTGTATGTCTGTGTATTTTATGCACACATTTACTAGTTAAAATTGTGTTGATTTTTCTTGCTTTTTTTTTTTTTGAGTTGGAGTTTCAGTCTGTCGCTCAGGCTGGAGTACAGTGACACGCATACTCACGGCCTCTCCAGCGTTGGCCTGCTGGGCTCAGGCAATTCTTTTGCCTCAGCCTTCCAAGTAGCTGGAACTACAGGCATGTACTACCACGCCTGGCTAATTTTTGATTTATTGTAGAGATGAGCCCTCGCCAAGTTGCCTGGGCTGGTCTCGAACCCTTGGACTTGGGCAACCCACTTGCCTTGGCCTCCGAAAGTGCTGGAATTACAGGCTGGGCCACCAAGCCCGTCCATCTTGCTATTTTCTTTCTTTCTTTTTTTTTTTCTAGTTGGAGTCTTACTCTGTCACCCAGACTGGAGTGCAGTGGCCACTCCCGGTCACCGCAGCCTCGCCCTGATGGGCTCCAGCGATTCTTTCGTCTCAGCCTTCCGAGTAGCTGGAATTACAGGCACGCGCTGCCATGCCCGGCTAATTTTTTGATTTATCGTAGAGATGAGGTCTCGCCAAGTTGCCCAGGCGGGTCTCGAACCCGCAGGCTCAGGCAATTCACTCACCTCGGCCTCCCAAAGTGCGGGATTACAGACTGAACCACGGAGCCCCGGCCCATCTTGCTGTTATCATTAGTGTTTTACTGTGTCATTAAATATTCTTCAAGGACAGTAAAAAAAAAAACTTGTTATATGATTTGTGAAGCATTAATAATTTGACTTTTAGGCACACCTCATCAACAAGGGGACCTGCATAATGACTATTTGTTTACCTAACCCTGAATTGTACCCCACGTTAAAAAAAGTATATATATATAACTTACCACAACTAGCTCAAAAAATAATAATAATTTGTCTTCTCCCACTATTGAACTGTTTGCTTGTTGGTTTTTCGTT